TCTCGTTAACAACCTTGTAAAGATTGGTAGTGTGTCGACGAAGGTTGCGTACCTCATATTCAGAATCACCAAACGGTATCCAAGGTCATACAGGTCTACGCACCAACATCTATTACATTTTTAGATATTCTCTATAATATTTCTAGAGCCATGCATTCTTATAAAAACCACTATACGGTGTTAATGGGAGACTTCAACGCAAAACTACGCAAAAGGAAGAAAGGTGAGCTGACGGTAGGTAAATTTGGGTTAGGGCAACGGAACACAAGGGGCCAGCAGCTGGCCGACTTCATGGAAAAGGAGGGACTGTTTATAATGAACTCTTTTTTCCTGAAGCGTCTCCACAGAAAGTGGACCTGGTCGAGGCCCGACAGTACGATAAAAAATGAGCTTGACTTTATTATGAAGACGAGACGGTAACTGTTCAGTGATGTCTCACTGATCGCAAGGATGAAAACTGGCAGTGATCACCGAATGGTTAAAGGTACACTGAACCTAAACGTTAAGTTGAAGAGGTCTCGTCTAAAGAAGTCAATGCTCCGTCCCCCTCGTGCTCTAATCCGGAATTTCGAAACTTTTCAACTCGAGTTACGTAACCGCTTTCAGTGCCTAGAAGATTGCAATGCAGTGGACGACAAGCATATGAATGACAAGCTCGTGGAAACTGTCCATGCAGTCGGAGCTAAGTTCTGCAAGACCCGCCGCAGAAGAACACAAAAACTCTCCGATCACACTCTTAATCTCATGGCTGTTAGACGGGAGATGATGCTGCAATCGTCAACAGATTTGACAGTATACAGGCAACTGAACAGACAGATCTCCAAATGCATGCGGCGAGACTTACGCAACTTTAATATTGCTCGTATTGAAGAAGCAATCGAACGGAACCAGGGCTCCAAAGTCTTTGAAGAATGAGTGTGGCAACACCGTTTCCGGGACACCTAAGATTTTGAGTGAGATTGAGAGTTTCTATGAGCTGCTGAAAACATTATCGTTGGAGCCACACGCAAGTGTGAGTAACGATTCAAGAGCAAGTCTAATCCGACACTATTCCGATGATATCCCGAAAGTCAGTCTGAGCAGATTGTACGGAAGACCGAAGAGTACAATCTGCCACTTTACCTGGCGTATACCGCCAACCGGTAACAACCGTAACCGTATATGAGAAAGCATTTGATTCCGTAGAAATTTGGGCGGTACTACAGTCCCTTCAGCGGTGCCAAGTTGACTGTCGGTATATCGAAGTGCTGAAGTGTTTGTACAGTAGGGCTACGATGCTAAGTGCTGTTTTCGAGTCATTACGAATCATATTCAACTGCAGAGTGGTGTAAGACAGGTTGACGTTATATCACCCATACTCTTCACCGCCGCATTGGAAGATGTTTTCAAGCTACTGAATTGGAAAGGTATTAACATCAATGGCGAGTACATTACTCACATTCGATTTGCCGACGATATAGTCTTTATGGTGGAATCGCTGGAGGATCTAAGCAACATACTCAATGATCTCAATAGTGTATCCCAACGTATAGGTTTTAAGATTAACATGGACAAAACAAAGATCATGTGTAATGTTCATGTCACGCCTATGCTGGTAGTTGTTGGGAGCACTAAGCTCGAAGTTGTTGACGAGTACGTTTGCCTGGGACAAATAGTCCGACCAGGTAAGTCTAACTTCGACCGAGAGGTCTTCAGGAGATTTCAACTCGACTGGGCAGCGTTCGAGAAATTACGACACATCTTCTCGTGAGGTATAACTCAAAACCTAAAAACTAGATTGTACACCAGTGCATGTTGCCAGCGATGACTTACGGATCTGAGACATGTTCCTTTAACTGCTGGCCGTATGAGGACGATCATGGTCGCTCAGCAAGCTATGGAGAGGGCTTTGCTCGGGGTTTCTCAGTAGAACCAGGGCAATCGACATAGCCCAATGTATTAGTAAGCTGAAGTGGCAATGGGCCGGCCATTCGGCCCGAAGAACCGATAACTGATAGAGAAAAAAGGTTCTCGAGTGGCAGTCTCGTACCGGTAGGAGTAGTGTAGGCCCACTAGACGGAATGATGACCTGGTAAAACATGCAGGAAGCCGATGGATGCAGGTAGCTAAGGACCGTGCTTTGTGGCATTCCTTGAGGGAGGCCTATGTTCAGCAGTGGACTTGTGAAGGGATATAATGATGATAATGATGAAGCTAAAAATGTCATTTCTTTGATCCTTTTCTTCTCGTTGGATAGCCATGCAATGGAAACATTCAGAGCGATGTTTATCTTTCTCCGGGTGTTTTTGTACTTTAGGGTGTAGAGCAGAAGGAGTCCTTGGTCGTTCCGAATTAACAAAAATATCTAGGTAGAATGATGGTACTTATTCTGACACATGATGACTGGTTCTGAAATAAATCATATTCAATCATATCATCACTCACAACTCGAAAAATTACGTTCGTTCGGCCTCAATCTAAAAAAGTATAAAGATATACAAAGTTGTATAATATCATCAAGAAATGCTTAATAAGTTTGTACCTACTTTTATCCATCTTTACGACAATCTAATTGTAAAGTTACAACAAAGCACACATTATAACAAGCAGTTCATGCGGTAAGATTATGGAACTCACTACCGTCAAATATAAGAAATTCCGAAACTTTGTTGGTATTCAAGAAACGTCTTAGAGATAACTACTTTGCATCCTGTTAATTTATAAATATTATTCTATTATATTAGTTTTAGTTTATGTATATCATATGTAACTATCGTATTTATTATTATTATTGTGGGGTATCTATATAGTTTTCTCATCTGGTTGGGTTCTATAAATATATAATTATAAATGAAAATGAAAAGATAAATATACATATATATCAATAACATAAAATAAATATAAAAATACATAAATAAATAAAAGCCCAACCAGATGGAGGCCCTCGGCAGGGGAGACCAAACGGCCGAGGGTTAGGGGGAAAGGGAAAGAAACCGGCGGACGGTGCGGGCGGTATCGAGGAGCACCGCCTTCTGCATTTGAGCCCGGAGCGGTCCGCCACGTAGTCCCAGTCGCCTCAGATGAACCGAGAGGCTGACTGGGATTAGCCCGTTTGCAGAGACGACTACAGGAATAATTTCGGTCGGCAGACCACCCCACATGTCAGTCACCTCGTGAGCCAGGTCCAGATATTTTGTTTGCTTGTCTGTTTTTCGGCTTTCACGAGGTTCTCGTCATACGGAATGGTAATGTCGACCAAAAATATCCTTGACTGTGCCCGGTCCATCAGCACAATATCAGGCTTATTCGCAAGAATAGTCCTGTCTGTGATGATGGCCCGGTCCCAATAGAGCCTGGCGCGATCATTTTCGAGCACGGCTTCCGGCAAGTACTTGTAATACAGCAATTTCCGATCCACGAGACCGTATTTCAGAGCGAGCTCCAAGTCTTCGAATTCTGGCTACTAGGTTGTGCCTGTGCAAGTACTCAGAGTTAGAAAGCGCCGAACAACCGGAGATGACATGCCTAAGTGACTCACCGGGATGGTGACAAGCTCGACAGATGTCCACGGTGCCATCCTTTAGGATGTATCTCCGATAGTTGTTGGTCTTAATAACCTGATCCTGTATTGCACAGACAAAACCCTCGGTTTCCCCGAAGAGATCACCAAAGCGTAGCCAGTGGAGGGAGGCTACTATGTCTACGAAAGGCTCATGTAGAGCCTTGTAGAACCTCCCGTGGAGCTCCTTCTCCTTCCATACGTTCTCCCGGTCGGAAATTGTCTGCACTGCCGGGTCTTGCCATTGCTCGTTGGCTAAGGATAGAGGGGTAAGTCCTTTATCACTAGAAATGACGTCCTTATTGAATGGATCATCCGATCTCGCCAGGAAGTAATTACGGAGGCTGCACACTTCGCGATTATGCATGGTGAGCGCGCTCAAGAAGCCACGCCCACCATGCTTTCGCGGCAAGTACAGCCTCATTACCGATGATCTCGGATGATGCATCCTGTGGGACGTCATGGTAGTGCGGACTTTTCTATCCAGCGCGTTAAGTTCAGTCTGAGTCCACCTGAGTATGCTATGTTCTGTGACATACCCAGGTATCGGTATGTTTCAGCCTCGGAAAGGGTCCTTAAGTTGACGGGCATAGATAAGTCTATGCCCTCAGAGTTAGCAACCATCCCCCTTTCAACATGGAGGACCGCACACTTATCCGTTCCCAGCTCCATTCCAATAGAATTGCTAAATTCACAAGTGATGTTTAGCAATTCCATAAGATGGGAGCGACTGGAGGCGAATAACTTGATGTCATCCATATAGAAAAGGTGGGTCACTTTTGTACCTCCTTTCGGAAGCTGAAATCCCCTCCCAGAGCCCTCCAGTAAAGTACTGAGAGGGTTCAGGGAGAGGTAAAACCAGATTGGACTCAGACAATCGCCCTGGAAGATACCCCTTCTTATCCTTATGTGGTTCTCCGCAGCCATTATCCGCTCGCCCAGATAGCAAAGGATCGTACTCCATTGCCCCATACACTGCTCGAGGAAGTCTCCAACTGTACAGTCAATTTTGTACAGCTGGAGGACTCTCTTTAGCCATGTATGGGGCACCGACTACCGACACAAAATTCCGACGGTTGCGTTTCACCACTTTGCCAATGACCGCGTCAATGAGGAGTGGTTCCTTGGTTCCACGACCACCACCCCGGCATCCATTTTGAGCGCGTGACATCACCTGATTTAGCTCCAGGTGACGAGTGATTCTCGCGCTCAAAATGGATGTCAGTGTCTTATATATGGTGGGTAGACAAGTGATGGGGCGGTATTTGCTCGGGTCTGTGGTATCCTGATCTTTAGGAACCAAATGAGTGATCCCAGTAGTGAAGAGGCTCGGGAGCGACTTCTGATCAAGAGCCTCTTGAAACTGTCGGGCGAGCACAGCGTGACACACTACGAACCCCTTCAGCCAGTAATGATGCAGCCCGTCGAGCCCCGGACTTTTCCAGTTCGGGGCCCTACGGACCGCCTCAGCCACGTCTTCAGGCGTTATGGTGACGGGGTCCATAGGCGTAACACTTGCACTCTGGCTCGCCACAACTTCCATCCAAGGGCCCTCGCTGTGGTTTACGGGCTCTGACCACAGGCCACGCCAAAATGCGACAGTGTCAGCCTGATCCGGTCCTGGGCCCGCTCCACATACCTCTGGTCGCTCCAATGATTTATAGAGCCTCTTCTGATCACTCTGGAAGAGACGATTCTGGTTGAACCGCCTTGACCTCTCGCTAAATCGTCGAATCCGCTTCCCCCAAGCAGCGATTTTTTGCTTCAGGTCATCTATGCGCTCCGTTAGTTTTTGCGTGATATCCGGCTGGAACAAACTAAAATTTGTCCCAGGAAACGCCATCCTAACGGTGCGCATAATCCTCGGTCTATTATTACCCGACCTGAAGCTTGTCAGTCTGCCGATAAGGGCCCTTGCCTTTGCGATACGGTCCTCAATTCTTTTTCTCCAGGCTGTGATGGCGCTACTTTTTTGAGTAGCACGTCCAGCCACGGGAAGTTTGGCGCCAATAATACGGCATACTGCCAGTTCGGCGCCAAAAAGAATTGAATCCGTCTCGCAAAGGTCCCGGCTGGCTTCCAAATAGGTCACCAGCATTGGGTTAAGAGCCCGCACGACAGCCCGATTTCGCTTGCTAAGGGGTATGCGGGGAAGTCGCGGTCGATTTTCGAGAGGCATGCTGCGCGTTTCCAGCATCGACTCTTCCAATATGCTCCTCATTTTCTCTAGTTCGTGGGAGACTATTCCATCATCGTCTGAATTAGCCACAAATGGAATGTTGACGGCAGCATCCACATATGCAGTTTGTTGCGCATCTAGTGGCGCCGCATTCCCAGCCGTAGCATTTCCATTCGATGAAGAAATAGCCTCACGTCGTAGTCGCTCGAGTTCGGCGTCACCAAATATGTTGGAGCGCAGGATGTACCTAACTCGGTCTGCCAGGTTTTGCTCAGTGACGGATAGAGATGGCTCCAGCTCTGCAAAAAAGCGATGCATCCGAGCCCGATACGCCAAACATCCAGTTTCTTCCCCTTTTGCCCTAAAATACGCCCGCAGTGCGTTTTCATTCATTGATTTAGACCAACGCATGCGACGTGCTCCACCAGCGGCGGGTGCCGCTTGCTGAGTCCGAGAAGACCCAGCCGATACCAAGCCTTCTGGTGGGGATGATGGATGCGGGGGGCTGCTAGGTGGTCTTGCAACACCCCGCGCTCGGCTGGCGGCCCGCATGCTGTCGCGTCCAGCGCCAGCTCCAGACGCGCCCTGGCGACCTCCAGGCAGCGGCCCTTTGCGCACTATCTTTTTCTCCATCATCCATAATATGGGCGTCCATTAACGGGAGACGCCCTGGCCCGGCACCGTATCGTGGACGGCCATAAGCACAAACGGGCCTTTGCACCCTGAATTCTGCCGAGGCACGGCGCTCACACCTCTCGCAAGGCGCTGACTTATTATTATTATTATTTATTGATTTATTTTATTTTTATTTATAGTTTTATTTTATATAATTTACGTAACATTGTGTATATTATTTATTTTTAGTAGTACTAATGTATGCACTAAGTTTGCAATTTCAATATAATTTCCTTTATGGGTCTATTGGAAGATATTTCAGCTAATTTGGAATAAGTAGAACCTTTGTACGAAATTACTATAAGACTGCTTCTGTATCTTAATGTGTGTACATAAAATAAATTAAAAAAAGCACACTTGTGATTAAGTTGACAATCAAAGTATACGCGGAAACATGAATGGCGGCATAATGGCAAAACAATCTACTTTGTTTAGCTGCCGAGACACGACTATCCGTAAATTTTCGATCAAGTACCTACTCTCTTACCAATGCGGCCGACACTGCGTGAAGCCTCGGCGCGAGCGGCGGCGTACTATTTCTTTGTTTATACTTTATACCTTTATTTTATAATTTAGATACTTGAAAAAGTAATGGTACAGTTACTTTAAGGTATAGTAATTTAAAGGTACCTTTATTTTAAGGTATCGAAATTTAAAGGTATGACGACATAACGCTTATCGTCTGTACCATAATTTTTTCGGTTATTTAATCCCTGTCGTGTGGTAATATTCATTTCGCATTTACTTGGTTATTCTTCAACGCGGCTTGTTGTGGACTGCGCTCCGGGGAAATTTGGACGCGGGTACTATTGATATCTAGGATGCTGATTCACTGGATGCGTCGTCTGTATCATTTACTTATTTATGCTTTTAACATCTTGTCGTTGCTTAAGAAATACCTTTATTTAAACGTCAAGTAAAAACGAAGGCAAAATAAATGAATGAATAACTTTATTTGCTATCAACAGGTAACAAGAGATGGACATATTATATAACAAAGAAAAACGTTAGTTCAGCGATTAAAATAGCATGCAAATACTAATGTTTACAATTAAGAATTAAATACATTTATATTTAAGAAAAATTTAAAATGACTAAATTATAAAGGACAATGTCCAAAATCGCCCTGTGCAATAAAAACATCAAAAATACACGATAATTAATTATCTATTTTAATATATTTGTTGCAAATGCTTTTATAACACGGACTAGCTGCATGCCAAAATGAATATTAAAAAAGTATTCTATTCAACTTATAACATTATTCGCCGCCAACTTCGCCAAACGTCATGTGGTGTAGAAAAATTACTAAGGACGCCCAATCGATTATAATTCGATCTTTTGAATTTTTAATGAACAGTTGCATATTTTTAATCTGAATCAAATTTTGAATTTATTTCGAATAAAGAACAAATAGAAACTATAATAAAAACAATCAATCACCATTTCTTTTTGTTATTCCCAAAAAGTATAATTTAAAAAACCTAATGAATGAGAAAAATAAATAGGTATTTAGAATAATGCTGAAGTGAACAAAACCTAATTTTTTCATCATGATCAGGTTTTCTAATGATGGTTTAGAAAAGCGTGTGGCTTACTTCTAACTAAACGATCACTTACGAGTTTATGACAATTAATATTTTAAATAATATAAAAATTACAATAAACAATAAATCGATAAACATTATATCGATAAAATTATTCGAGGATAGGCATTTACAGAGCTAGTATAATTCACCTATGTTGTCAGCACTGTTGTTCTAAAAATTAATTTCATGTCTTGATGTTGGTAGAGTTGTTTGGCGCCCTTTCATACATTTATTTTTACTTAGGGAGTTTATATTCTCTTTGTTACGCAAATGCAATGAAAAGTGTGTTTTGTGTAAATTGCGACTCTGCTGGTGGTTTTATGTTGTTGAAAGATGTTACTAAAATTGTTAAATGTAAGACGATATTGTTTTTCAGTTTCTTGAAAATCATACCAAATGATAAAACTATAATAGCGGTAGTTCTATTATAACCTCAAAATCTGATACTTTCTTTGAAATATATCTTTTCTGTAGCTAGTCCGCTATAAAAATAAGATCATATACATTGAAGTAATATGTACTTACGTACTAGAACGGCTATTTCAAACAAAAAATGTGCGCTACTCTGTGTTCACCTGTTTGGATTTTTTATCATAGAATAAACATCGGTAGAATGATCACTAGGTAATATTGTCAAATAGGTAAATTATATCGAAATCAATTTTTAAATTTTGTCATTTATTTTGAATATTATATTTACTTATTTAATATAATATTACATAATATTATATCACAATTACATTTTAGTGGTATTTTTGTCTCAATATTTTAAAAGGTAACTATGTCAAATATAAAAAAACATACTAAATGTATGTTTAACAAAACTTATTAATATAACATTTAAATTACAATTATATTTATTTAAATTAGAATAAGAGTCGTTCATAAATGCTGGGCACGCGAGAGTTAAAAATGGACGAATTTATTCCACTTTGACTTTGATGTGGAAACTTAAAAATAAAATAAAAGAATAATGCGTGTGGCACTCGGTGACTGACGCGGTAAAGCTATTGCATAGCGTTTTTTATCAACTTATGCAATTATAATTATTTATTTATTTTATTTATGCAGTTAAGTCTTTGATATTAAATCAAGTTACACTTTTTGAGCGTGGTGACCGATAAGAAAACAATTTTTTTTCTCTTATTGAATAAATGAGAAGTTAATATTGTTTAAAATATTTTTAATATCTTACAATACATGTAGGTTATTCAGGAATTTTTATCATTGAGTTAACAGCTAGTATACACGCACACAAACACCGTGCCGAAGTCTGCCGAACTAAAACGACGTTAGACGATGCACGGCTTTCAACGCCACACCTCCGTGCCCGTCGGAGTTGGGAGCGTGAGGTTTCTTTTCGTTACGGAATTTCTGGATTCGGTCCCCGCGCTCAAGGCCCGCGATAGAAGCTATGCAATAGCTTAAAAATTTAGCCTAATTACGATAACTTATATACGATTCTACCAAAAAGTGTGTATACTAATATATTCGTCTATACTTAAGTATCCACAGAAATGTCGCATCTGAACAAATTAATTTCATAATCTATATTTCCTGACACCATATGGCGTCTTAGGAATAATTTGTTTTATATATTATATATATATATTTTTTATTGATTAAGTGTCTTATTATCCGATGAAAAGTAATTCCTTGGTTTTACTGACATTCTTGAATTATTTGTGCAATATCTAAGTACACACGACGGAATATTTTTATCAAAAGATTTTTTTTTAAATTAACACAACACGTGGCAACTCTACAAGCGCCTAGCGAGTGATTAAAGTGCGGTGCATGCACCGCAGTTGAGTGGAACAGAGTAGCTGAATGCAGTGTCGCCTCTAGTAAGTAGTACATAGTAGCTTAATGATCATACAGTAATTCCCTAATGATCGAAAACAATACAACACACATTTTTCTGATGCTTTTGATTCCAGGGCGAACAATGTATGGGCGCTGAACAATGTCCTTTAATAATACAGCCTCTTGATCGTGTTAGGTATTTTTTATTTTGTATTTTATAAACGTGTTATAAAAATCATTAATCGTATTAGGTATTTTTTATTTTGTATTTTATAAACGTGTTATAAAAATCATAAATAGATATCGAGAAAACAGGCACGTCATCTAATACAGGTCTACCAGGGTTTCTAATTTTTATGAAATACGTTTTTGTCTTGTTTAAATGATATTGGTGTTGCCTCACGAACTTAGCTATTTGAAAGATGTAAAGACAAAGAACGGAAACAATATTATAATCTTTAAAAAGTGGTTTATAGGATACATCCGATGCAGCACTACAAATAGCTCTTACATATTGCTTTCGGAAGTCTAAACTTTCTTTTTATTGCGCCGTGCTATTATGGACCCGTATTTAACAATCAATTCTATATTTGCGTAGCATACTGTGATTTCCATTTGTTTTGATGATATTTTAACAGCTTTATATAGGCCTTTTCCTCCGAAATATCTAGAATGTTCCAGCAAATACCGGTCCCGACCGACTAAGTATAGAAAATTAGAGTTCGGAGTCTTCTAGAAAGCTTAGTTCTTCTATTCGATAGTAGATGGCGCTAGTGGGAGAGTTGTAGAAAGAACTTGTAAGGTCACCTGGGGCAAGTGTGACATGAATTAATTATAACTATAATCGACATTTAAATATTTCTACTCTGTAAAGATTTAATATAGATAATTCAGTTTTATAACATCAATTATTAAGTGGTTGTATGTTTGATCAAGCATTTTAGTATCTACAAGTAGCATTTTGTAATTTGAGGTAATTAAAACTAATTGAGGTGGAAGACTGTCACACTTACCCATCAATGGGGCAAGTGTGACAGTATGCTTCTTTTTGTAGTTACTTCATTATTATCTGTGGTTTTAAACAAAATTAATGAAACGATTTGAACGTCTATTTTTGTGTAACAATGAATTTCCCCCAACATGGGGCAAGGGTGACTGTTTTCAACCGATATAGTGGTGTGCCTATAAAAGGATTTACTACACTAGTTCTGGATGTTTTGTAAGTATAATAAAAGCAATGCAAAGAACAAAATAAAATTTAATCCAGAACGTTAACAATTTATAATAACATAATCATAATAAACGTGACACTGTCTCACTTACCCCGATGTTAGGTATTAGGTGAGGTAAGTGTAACTGTATCCGTATATCAAAGAATAGTGAATTTCAGGTCGCAGAAACATATTGCTCTATAAGTACCAATATTATTCTTTATCGCTCAACCTGTATCTGGTTTAAAATAACTTAACGACATATCGAAACACTTCACAACTTCAGCTCTTAAAATTGCACTGTCTGTCGCCAGTTGAGTAGTTTTAAAAATAACGTCTGTTGATAAAATAG